CTGACCAAAGGTAACTATTGGATAGGGGGGATAGGGAGGTGATGGATTGAGGGTTAAAAAAGTGTAGTTGGACTGTTAATGTCATGATAAATTGTATATTGTTTTATACTTTGTATTGAAATTAAATTTAATAAAATATATTAATAACAGAAAAAATAAACAAAATTTGTGACATAAATAAAACTATGCCATAACAGCATTAATAGTTCATGAAAACTCGTGCAAACGCGTCAGTTGCAAATCATGGTGACATCATATCTAGCCGGTGGAACACACATCAGTGTGTCACTTCTGATTCAGCATTTTATGCTTGGTACCATTTTAATGAACATGAGTGCAATTTACTTTGTTTCATTTTATTAAGAAATGGAATTACACTATATGACCCTATTCCATCACTTTTTATGAGTATTATTATCCAGTGACCGCTGAGTTGGACTACTTTGTGATGTGAGGAACATATCTACATTGCAGAGGACTACAAGCTCCAGAATCATCTAAGTGCAATAGACTCTTACTTAGTTTTAAGAGTCCAATGGAGTCAGTGAGTGAGGGGGATTACTGCAGGAAGCACAGCATGTAAAGTGGCACCTTTTATAAGCAGAATAGAGCACTGATATAGATAAAGAGACTGCAATGTTGGCACAAGTTTCATGGACTATTAATGTGTTATGGCATAGTTTTATTTATGCCACTAATTTTGTTTAATGATATAATAGGGCAGCGCTTACCTACCTACTATTGCATATTTTTTGAGGGTCAGTACCCTATGTAGTAGCAGCAGCCACTTGTTATATTGGTTCACTCGCATTTGGATTTGTTTTTATTTTATTTAGTAGTATTTTTGGATACACAGTCATGATAGATAATTTTTTAAGACACTAAACCTGAGCTCTAGGATATAAGATTTTCTCTCTATTACATGTGTTTCTGCTGCTGTTTCCAATAAAACAAAGTCTCAGCCATATGTCCAACACCTTGACTAGGGGTGAGCTTGGATTTGATCTGAAAATGGATGCGGACCGAACCTGAAAGGAAGCTGTCACTCCTGTCCATTGCTATCTGAATAAACAATCTGATAAACTGCAGTCAAGGAATTTCCAACCCTGCGCTGCAGTAACACAAAAGGGTGGTAATGTTCGGGACATCATTGTCCTAACATGGTCACACCAGAGGGCTAGCAAGAAATGGTACTTCAATAGACAGTACCAGTACCAGATTAAACTAATGAAAGACCAGCACATGCAGGACTAAATAATATGCACTTTTGAAATGGGGCAATGCCTGCTACTTGTTTCCCTGAAAGCTTTGAGACATGTGTTACAACACTTGATGCTCACCTAGATGATGAGCTTAACCTGGATATGTTAAAGGCAAGCTAGTGAATGAATATAAGAGATAAAGAGAAACTGTAATTAGTGAAAATGCTCCTACCATAAAATTTACACTAAGAACCAACAATTGCAACTAGAGCAATTTGCAGCATGAAACACGTGAATGCTATGTGTGCAAAAAGACAGGTCACATGTGTGAAAAGCTTAAATAAATGAGTAATAGGGACAATGTGTTAAAGAAGAAACCAAAGCCAAGGGTTGAAGAATGCTGGAAGAAAATGTGACTTCGGCTGGACAGGTTAGGAAGCACTGATCCACAGAATTAATGAAACAGAAGCAAGGAGATCCTTGCACTGCAGTTCTTTAGGTATACATTCTTTTTAGGAAAGATAACAGTTAGCAACACAGTAAAGACATTACCAAATCTCATTCCAAATCTTGCAAGATTAGCATTCAGAGGTGCAATGCCTTTTACTCATTTTGCATCTATGAGGCTAAATCCAAAGGAGGGCTTAGGCAAATAAAGTTCACTGTTATTTTTCAGGAGGAATTCAAGATAAAAGGTGAAACGTTTACGGTACTGCTTAAGCAAGATTAACTTTTCTATTCACTTCTTATAAAAGAGCAAATCTTCACATTTTGAGTTAAGGTCCACTTTAAATCTGGTTTGTTGTAATAATTTGCTATATGTATTTGGCTTTGCCCTGTGTGATTAAATACATTTAAACCTGTATAATTGCAAGGCTGCAAAATGATACATAGTATAAAAGCAAAATTTGCTTACAACTCCAACATTGGTCTCCCAACAGGGTCCCCTGGGCACATCGGCTGGATGCAGAGGTGGTGGTGTAGTATCAGTACCATTTATAAGTGCGGAAGCATTGTAATAATTGTATAGTGTCCAGTGAGTGATGTTCTTTATTACCTCTTCTTGGGCTAGCTTTAAGAAGATATTATATTATATTTAGAGTAGCTTTTTATGCATTAATTAGGAATAGTACATTTTAGAAACACATTTCAGTAATTTGCTTGTGTCTTACTTTTTCATTGACATCATCCATCAGAGCTAGTAAGAAGGTGTAAAGGTTACCAAGGAATAAAGCAAAAATTCGACCAAGCTGCCACTTTAGAGCCACACGGGGATGGTAATCTTCTAGATTTGCTATTGTTTCAAATAAAGGGGGGCAAAACATTCCAAGCAAAGACATTACAATCTCAACCTGTAATAGAAGCAAATATTTAAATGATCAGTGTACAATAGGTGACTTTTTTGACTTATGTGCCAAAGCTAGTGGGTTCAACTACCTACTTTTGAAGTAAACCTTTAAACGTAATTGTTATCACAAATAAAATGTAATTAGAGGTGCCTTTACATATATTTAACTCATGGTGTGTTTGGAGCTAAAAAAATATGGCCGATTACATTATGCAAGTTTTCAATCGAACTAGCAATGATCAGCACTTTGGCACAGCTACTATATTACTTACCTGTTGACCCAACAATTTGATTGGCAGCTTCACTGGCCAATAGGAAAATAAACAGGCAGCCCAATTCTCTGACATTCTAGCTGTAGTTCAGATTTGCATAGAAGAGAGACCCAGAATTCAGGAAGAAATATAAAGCAAAAAACCAAGAGAGAAGAAAATAGGCTGCACACCAAAAAGGCTAACCTCAAAACATTTATTCATAAGCCATACATAGTGAAAAACATTGCATCAGAGACACAGTGTACATATCCAATTGCGAGGATCCTCCACCCCCGGCATGAAAGGACCTCCAGTGCCGGACACTATTAGATGGTATACAGGTTTTCCCTGGGTACATACAACAGAAATACCTTCCAGATGGAACTTGAACCCCCCCACAGAACCATCCTCATCCACCTCCAACCCTCCCAGACTCCACCCACCTATACCCCCCACCACCTACAATGCCCAAGGAACCCGAAACAAAAGCCCCAAGAAGACTCTCGGGGTAACCCAATGCTCCTCCCACAATGACCTCCCCCAAGAAGAACACCCACCCAATCACCCCCCCCACTTGTGGGAGAGAAGACAGCTGAGGTGTGCCACCAACCCACTGATGCCCCCCTACCCCTCAAACCCTGCTAAGTGGTATATCCCACTCACCTACACACCAGAAAAGAGCTGGAAATGCCCCTGAGACTATATACCTGCTGCAGATAGAACACAATATAAACACATGAAGGCATGACAAAACCAGACTATATAATATCTCGTATAGCCTCAAAGTTCAACCCTGCAAATGAATGGGAGGGAATATATGATCTGGTGTGTCCAGTCTAGATGAAAGGGCAGTTGTGTCTAGGATGTAATCCAGTGAGAGTCCACTATGGTCATATGCACAAAGTCAGGGGTGATGCAGGTGTCTTGCAGATGAACCGGCTAAGGCCTGCAAGGATAATGACTGAATGATGGGGCTGAGCCTCCAGATGAAATCCAGACAGCGTGCAGGTAATGTTGTTCAACCCCGCCAGCGGTTATACAGCAACAAAAGTGAGTAACTGCCTCAGCGACCTCAAGAAGTGTGACCTGTCCAGCCTGTGCAAGCCTGCCTAACTGATGTGACCTGGGTGACAACACAGGGTCGCCAGTACTCACAGAGTGGTGGGACCACCAAGGTCCTCTGCGCTAAGCTGCAGCCGATAGTCCCGATATATGGTACTAATCATGAGGAGGCTCTTGCTTTAATTCCAAAGTCAGTTGCCAGCCATGTATGATATACCAAGTGCCATGGCCATTGGGTACAGTGCTGTAGATTCCTGTGAACCACCATGTGGTGTGGGAATGGCGTGTGGAGGAGGTAGGAGGAAGTAAGGGGGGTGTATAACCTTAAGGACATATGCAGACATATCTAGGTGCCTGCATTATATTTACATTACCCGTTAACAATTATAGAGTTATAGCAATAACAAGTTAACTTTAAATCATCTGGGATGCTTTGTAACTGAGTTCATGTTCTGTGCATCAGCTGTGACCATAACAAAAGGATCTGAAAGCTGCATGAGTTTCATGTTAACAAAGAATGCATTGAGTTCCCATTTTTGCTCATGTAATGGCCATAGTAGGGGTACACAGCCAGAAATTTAAGACTTCTTGTGGGTATTTTGTATGACTGCCCACTAGTCTTTAACCTTGAATTAGTGAAATGTTTGACATTTACATGCAAAATTCCTTTAGCTGCAACATGTTTGTGAGATTTCTTGCATTACCTGCCTGTTTCAATGTCAGTCAAATCATAGCTTTGATTAGCGCAATCTATATCCTGTATTATTTTAGTCTTTCTTTTGTGGATTGCTAGTGTGCTTCAGATCATTATCATGTTGAAGGACTCCTTTCCGGTTCAACTTCAACTTTCAGGCAGATGGCCTCACATTTTCATCAAGCACACTTTGATATGATTCAGGATGTATAGTTCATTTGATGATTGTGAGCTGCCCCAGCTCTGAAGCAGCAAAGCAACATTAAGCCAACAATTTCCACCATCACGCTTAATGGTTTGTACGAGGCTTTTCTCCTGAAATTTTTGCAGCGCACATGTTCACTGGTACTGTGACCATACAACTCTATTGACTGATCAGTTTTCAACACATTGTACCAGAAGGCCTGGTATTTGCCTTTATGTTCAATGGCATACTCTTATCTTGCTTCTGTGTTCTTTTTATGGACAGCAAATGATTTTTCTTAACATACCTCTCATGCAGGTTGACTTGATGCAATCTATGATTGTAGATGCATGCATTTAATTCCAGCTGTTGCAAAAGTTACCTGAAAACCCTGCAATTCAATTTTGGGGTTCCTGGAGGCACCTTTTAACATCAAATGATCAGCTTTTGGGGTTATCCTGGACAGATTAGCAGTTGCTTGATATCTATGCCATTTATCTAAGCAGTTGTTTGATATCTATGTTGCTTGATATCTATTTTCTGAACACTGGAATGATTAATTTCAAATTTTCAGATTATGTTTAAACTTTAAAGTTTGCAAGTATTAGAGACATCAGAGGCCAGTGCTATTCACATCCAGGTAAACATATTGTAGGGTATAAATATAAATATAAATAAACAGCGCAAATTTAGATAATTAATCAATATAATAAATCATATAAAATAGGTGCATAAATTATTCGTGTTTGCCCTTAATCTTAAACAAAAACACAAAAGACGCATTTCCGGTCCACACTTCATGCGCCTGACGTCATTTCCGGTGAGTGGAGCGCACGCTGAGCGGTGCGTTCCAGCGGCCATCTTGGTTCACTGTTTGGTCTAAGAGGAGTCCTGTCTTTGTTCCACTGTGGATGTGAGAGTCTTGGAAGGAAAAGTTTGTATATCTGCTGGAACTGAAGCCTTTTATACATAATAAACATGTCTTTAGCAAGTGTTTAACATGTGAGTGGCCTTAATCTCCATTTGGAAAAAGTTACTATTGTGTGACAATATTATGCTATGTGAGTTTTTTTTTTCTTTTGGTTGGATGGTGGAGTCTATTCGGAGGGTGAAGATTTTCCCTAGCGTGGCACCAAAGAGGGTTTAGGATCCCTAAAAATTCCTTAAAGGTCCTTTACTCACCAAGTTCTGGTGAGTGTATTCGATGTTGGTTTGTGCACTGGTGGAAGGTGAAAGTATTTTCTGAAGAAAAGAAGTTGGCACTTTTATTTCTACAATTTAATTATGTTTTCAGCACATGGACTTTTGGGTGTTTTTGTTTAAGATTAAGGGCAAACACGAATAATTTATGCACCTATTTTATATGATTTATTATATTGATTAATTATCTAAATTTGCGCTGTTTATTTATATTTATATTGTTTTGTGTTTTCACGATTGGCACAGCAGCATTTTTAGAGTGTTATTTGGAAAGTCTTGGCGCAGGAATAAGTTTTCTTGTATAAACATATTGTAGGGTATACATCACATAAGCATGAAATATAAGGCACAAAAGTAAACATAGAATAAAAGGCATAATTAATATGCCAACAAAACAAACAAAGGCATAACTAACAGCATATTCAAGAATGTTTTTAAAGTCATCTAGAAGGCTTTATACTCATCTCCTTCAGCCTCTGTCAAGTACTCTGTTTTTTTCTCCTCACCCTTCCCGATATTTCAGGGCACTAGACAGGGCTGGCCACTATCACCTGCACTTTTCCTTCTTGCTCTTGAATCCCCCGTTGCGGCCATCCGAAACTATCCAGATATATTTGGTGTCCCCTATGCAGGCAACCACTAGAAGGCAAACATTTATGCGGATGACGCCCTCCTGGTTCTAACTAATCCCCTCATTACTATCCCCAATCTTCAGGGTATATTGGATCAATTTTCGGCCATATCTGGCCTTCGCGTTAATTTTTCCAAAACAATTGCATTAAATATTCTCCCTGTTGACCTGGTTGAACATTTGCAGGTACAATTCCCATACCGTTGGGCATCCCACTCCTTAGATTACCTTGGAATTAAACTTACTACCTTTTATTCCACCTTGTTCTCGGACAGTTATTACCCTTTATTATGATCTGTGACTTCCCTCCTTAATTCATTGCAGTTTCCTTCTCTGTCATGGATTGGCTGGATACATACTGTCAAAATGACAATCTTGCCTAAAGTCCTATATTTTTTCACCCTACCTATTCATGTTTCTTAGTTTTTCCTCTGTCTTTTACAGAACTGGATTCTCCACTTTATGGGGCTCGCAAATGCCCCAGAGTTCCCAGATCTACCTTATATACGCATAAACTGCAGGGTGGCTTGAGAGTTCCTCATGTTTCCAAATACTATTTGGTAGCTCAAATCTCTCAGCTGTCCATGCTCTATGCCACGACTGATATCCCATTATGGGTACTTCTGGAATTGCCCAGTTGTGTCCTGATCTCTTTGCATGGCTTGCTCTGACTTCCACATCAATTGCACCCCGAGACCTGAACCCCATTATGCTTTACAGTCTGTAAACCTGGGATTCTGATAGATATTGGGATAATCTAATGTCATCTTTCCTGCCTCTCTTGCCAATCACTCACAACCTTCTCTTCCCCCCAGGATTAGGAGATCTCCATTCTTTCTCTTGGTGGACCTCCCACGGCTTTACAAACGTGCACAGCTTCCTAATCACTCACTCATTTCCATCCTGGGAGGCCCTCCAGGAGACATGCGAGAACCCATTGCAGGACCATTGCCACTACCTGCAATTAAGACATTGGATTACGTCCCAGGCATGCCAGGTTGGCCTTCCTGCATTGCCCTATTCTGGGCCTTTTCAAACCCCAGCAGAAATTGTTTTTCTACCTTTTCATCTCTGCTGAAAGTACTAAAGCTCAAGCCTGGAAGACCTTTTGTTGCCTTCCAGGGTGTGAAAACCTGGATGACTGCCATGATGATTAATGAACAGATGTCCAGCATTCTCAAAGATCACATCCAAAATTCCTTAAAGTTTGGGAACACTGGATAAACAATTCCTTTACATCCTTACCTCCCACCAGTTATGGCCCTTATAGCCGCTGCCCACTTATCCCTCTGTTGCCATGCAAGGGGCTTAGTACAAAGTACTGTTAGGGAAAAGGAGGCATTGCCAAACATTGGGGTTAAAGGGCTCAGTCTAGAAGAAAGTAGATTTAAAAATGGAAAACCTGGAAAGTAACATGAACCATGAGATGTAGGTGATCTTTAGAGGGCTTATGGGATCATCCATGTAGAGTGAGAGCTTATATTGATGCTGACCTATAGTAATACTTTGGATATCAGGGTCTTGTCATATAGCTATCACCAGAGGGCAACCCTGGAGGTGCTGTTATGAGTCCAGATAGGGTCTGCTAACAGACTGTTAGTGCAGATTCTCGCTGAGGGACATCATGGGACAGCCATGATTTTATCCAGAAGTCCTTTTAAATCTTTTGCCAAGCTTATAGGCATCCACAACTTTCTTTCTGATGGCCTTAGGGAGCACTATTGAGCTTGGCATAATGACACCAAACAATAGCCAGGAGCTTCTAATTATTGGCACCTAATCTGGAACACTAGATTCTAATTTCAGGATTTGATATGGTGGTAAATGTATAAGTGTACTTATTTTTCCATATGATAAATGTGCATTTTTGTTAATTTACTGTAGATCATGAATATAAATCTATCATACCAATTTTAAGTATATTTCCTTTACCTGTATTCACTATTTTATTCACGTTTTTCTGTTCAAATACATTGATAAAGTCAACAATTTTAATGGGGTGTACTTAATTTTTCACATGACAGTAGAAAACGGATTAATTATTTGAACATTGTATATATAAACTACCTCATTTCTTTCATACCATCCCACATTCTGCATCTTGGAGAAAGTCTGTGAACGCTTTACAACAAAATAAATTAGGTAACCGCTTCCACACAAGCAGCATATTATCATTACATTGGCTAGGACCCGAAGGAATCTAGTGAGATGAATGTTTTCATCCTTATTACTTTCCTCTTCGTCTACAATAGATTCCTAAAGAGAGAACGAAAAGTACAGAATCACATTATCTCCAAAATAGAAAAGTAACGCCGATTAGAGGTAACAAAAAGCAAATAAAAAAGAAGAAAATCTAGGACATTATTATAGCACAGTCTGGGAAACTGCTGGAGCCCTGGGAATTGATATAGTCAGAAAAGGGGCATAAAATCACTGGAAAATATATCTAATATCATTTAAAAACTATAAATATAAGAAAATTCTATAGAGTCTATAAATACTAAAGACAGATCTCAAAGAGGAATAAACTGTATATGTATTATAAAAAAAAAGCTTGAAACATTTACATTTCTTTCTTAAATAAATATACATTTTTTTATTGCTCCTAACAAGAAACAACTTAAAAACATAAAAAAAAACCCCTTAAAAAAACATAAAAGAACACACAGGACCATGTGTTTTAAAAATCCAAAAATATATATATGTGCAATATTCAATATTATATCAGATTATCAAGGACACATGATCCAAACTACCTCATTTCAAATATATGTTTGTTCATAGAATATCTTTTCCATATTTGCTATATTATCCGAAGCTATGAATTCAATAGGTGATAGCCAACCTTATTTTTTCATAAAAAGGTTGAATCTATTTTTGTATTGCGCTAATTTATGTATAAATGCATTGAAGGTATTGAGGCTATTTTTGTATTGCGCTAATTTATGTAAAAATGCATTGAAGGTATTGAGGCTATTTTTGTATTGCCCTAATTTATGGATAAATGCATTGAAATTGTTATATTCACATAAAATAGGGTTTGTAATGTTTAGTGCTAACAGATCTTTCAATAAATAAATTGTTCATCACATTCTCTGTGGTAAGTATTTAGTGCATTATATTGAATGAGATCAAATCTCTATATCAATAGAAAGTCATGAGATCAAATTTTGCTCTTGGGAATGCATCAATAAAGATTAAATGAGTCTTATAATGGAAACAGCAAGTTGTGTTGTTGATTTAAATTGGTATCTCAATATTAGACATAAACCTGCTAGATGTATATATGTATCATACATCGTCGGAAATCGCGGCGGAATTTGAAGAGTTTTACTCTAACCTATACAACCTACCTTTACAGCCCAAACCAACAGGTGACATTAGGCCACGTAAGACCATTATACAGGCCTTCCTCACGCAATATCTCCCCAAACCAGTTTCAAGGACACAAGCGAAAGAATTGGAGGGAGCTTTGACGCTACAGGAACTACAACAGGCTATTACACAGTTGAAACCTGGTAAAAGCCCAGGACCCGATGGCTTTATCAACTCTTACTACAAATCTTTTCTTGACATTTTAGCGCTTCCATTTCTACAGGCCTTCAACACATTAGACACGCCAGGACAATCTATGAGTCATCTTTCGGAGGCTCACATTACGGTTATACCCAAAGAGAATAAAGACCAAACTTCTACAGTGAATTATCGTCCGATTTCGCTATTAAATGTTGATCTAAAGATCTTTGCTAAAATTCTGGCTAACCGCTTACTACCTGTTATAGACTCCATCATATCTCCGGACCAGGTGGGCTTTGTTCCGGCAGAGAGGCCAGAGATAACACAATTAGGGCCATTAATATACATCACTGGCTACTTCAAAAGCGACAACCTGGATTTTTTCTCTCTTTAGATGCCGAAAAGGCGTTTGACAGACTAGCATGGGATTACCTGGAGGCAGTTTTGATTGGACTAGGACTACCTTTGCGCTTTTTGACTTTTATTATGTCTCTATATATAGCCCCCACAGCGCGAGTGCGCGTTAATGGTCACCTTTCGGACTCCTTCTCAATTGGCAACGGGACTAGACAGGGATGCCCCTTGTCACCCCTCTTATTTATCCTTACATTGGAACCTTTATTGAATTGCATTAAGGATAATGCTAACATCAAGGGGATTTTGATCAATGACAAACTACATAAAGTGGCAGCCTTTGCTGATGACATACTTCTTTTCCTAACAGACCCGCATATCACGTTGCCAAACTTGCTACAAGATTTCAAACTATTTCAGTACTTGGCTAACTTTAAAATCAATTTTTCTAAATCAAGCACTTAATGTATCATTAACTCCGGATGTGTTGAAACAAGCGACATCAAATTTTCCTTTTACTTGGCAACGTGAAGCTATCACTTATTTAGGAATCCAATTACCAACACATCTTTCGGAATTATATACAAAAAATTTTCTACCCCTCTTACGTGACATCTCCAAAGACCTACAGACATGGAATAAACCCTGGTTTTCTTGGTTTGGTAGGGCAGCTATACTAAAGATGAACGTGCTCCCCAGAATATTATATCTTTTGCAGACAATACCAATCCAATTACCAAACTCATTCTTCAAATCCTATAGAACGCTCTGTACCTCCTTTCTTTGGTATAATAAACGCCCAAGAATTAGCTTTGCCCAACTCACCATGCCCAAGAGGAGTGGAGGTATAGGACTTCCGGATATTCACCGTTATTACAGGTCCTGTCACCTAGCCAGAATAGTGGACTGGACAACAAACCACACTCGTAAGGTGGGTTGGTGTAGAGGGCTGATTTCTCAAAGATACCACTCTCCACCTCCCCGTGGCTGAAAACCTCTCACGTCCCTTCCGAGTTTCGAGAACACCCACTTATAGGTCCCACTCTATGCTGTAGTGCTCAGTTGTTCCAGAAAAAAGAACTATCTTCCTTTCCGAGCCCTCTTACTCCGATCAAATTGAATCCGGACTTTATTCCAGGGATTTCTCCGACCTTTCTCGCTGGGTATGGCCGTGCTGAGAGTCTTACAGTGGGTCAATTCTTCAAAGATTCTAGCCTCTTATCTACAGAAGACATTGCAAAGACGTGGCCATCCATTACACTAACACCATGGATGTATAGACAAATACACCATTTCTTACGTAACTCCCCACATCTAAAAGACTATTCAAGACCGCTTACTGCATTTGAGAAGCTCTGCTTTACGGACATCCCCCAGCGGCATGTTATATCTAAGCTCTATTCCTATCTTGAAAGTACTAACACATCTCATTCGCGGAAGACCTGTTCAGCCTGGCAACGTGACCTACAACTTCAAATCTCACCAGAGGACTGGGACCACATTTACGACCATATGCATAAAGGCTCCATTTGTGTCTCTACCCAAGAAGGCAATTATAAATTATTTTCCAGATGGTACAGAGTTCCGTCTTGGGTTAGTAAATTTGATCCTAACGCCTCAGATCTATGCTGGAGATGTTCCCGGGCAACAGGTACTTTCTACATATCTGGTGGGACTGCCCGCGGCTGCAACCCTTCTGGAGAAAAGTTTTGGACATAATCACTCAAGTAACTACATACACCCTAGACTTTACCCCAGCACAATGTCTACTTCATCATTCCTCACTTTCTGTGCGGACTTATATCGTAGGTCGCTTGCTTTACACATGATAAATGCGGCAAGACAGTGTATTCCGGTCCATTGGCGATCGGAATACGTTCCCACCGTGCGAGAGTGGATTCTTAGGATCATCAGGATCGCAGAGATGGAGGAGCTGATTTCAGTGGCAAAAGAACACCCCGAGAGATTCAGGAAGACTTGGGCGTGTTGGAATCATTTCCAAACTACCGATACTTATCATTGTCTAATGAAGGAATGAGCGAGAGAGGATTTGGTGACACGGAAACCCCTAGAACGTTCACTTCAGGAATAGTTCCATTACGGGACTTTAACGAAATTGTATTTCTAAGTAATGATTGAATCTGTCTCAGCCTGGAAGCTGCTAACTGATATGACTGGTTTGGTTATGCCTATTTAGTTATATACCTCCTCCTTCCCCCATTCACCTCCCCCCCCCCTCTTCCCCCCCCCCTTTTTTTTTTTTTTTTTTCTTTCTCTCTCTCTCTCTCTCTCTCTCTCTCTCTCTCTCTCTCCCTCTACCTCTCTCTCTCTCTCTCTCTTCATCTGTATTCGTCCCCTACGTCCCTCCTTGCCCCACTATGATATTTTTTCTCATACTCTTCCTCCATTCCCTTGCTCATTTCATTCCCATCTCTTCTTCTTTCTCTTTTTCACCTCTTTTTATCCATATTCTAACTAACTATATTTTTTCATAAGGTACAGAGTACTTACAGACACACAGGTGTAACAATACTCCTCCAATCTAATCTATAATGTTCAAGTACGGAATCCTAAGACATATATGCCTTGAGTTGACACGACTATTTGCTATATACCTCACTGTCCTGTTTTCTTTAGATCTCCCTACACAAGGACTATTGTACCCCGTATTTCTATAAATTACTTACTGCTAACATCATTGCTATGGGTATATACGGTGCCTTCCCCTTAGGACTGTATTTCAGGTTGAGAGCTACGATTTACTTCTATGTCCTGAACCCGTCTGCGTTACGGGAGAACATGCTTAAAGACTTGCGCGGACTGCGATCGTATTTGTTTATGACTTGTTATGCCTTTCATATCTCAATAAAATTTCTTGGAAAAAAAAAAAAAAAAAATATATATGTATCATAATCTATAAAAAGAGAAAAACACAATGGCTGCTTTCTGTAATAAAATAAAGTTACAAGCATATCATATATATTTAAACATTACAAGGTCCATTCCCTGCAGTCCCTAATATATCATTATTCACAATAAAGAAGTTGCTGCCTATAACCCCACAAAGGTTTGTGAGCAAATTGTAAAACATATCCATCCAATACACAAGCCACTTCAAATTTTCCTGAATTTATCTCAACAACAAGCTTAAACAAAAACCCGCTGATATAACAGTTTCCCAAAACAGTAAAATTCAAGGCATGCCTTGAATAATAACTGTGCTTATGTTGGCTCTCAGACGAAACTGTCAAGCCATCAAATGGTTGGTGTTCTAGCTGATCACACGTGCAGCACGATGGCAATTGCAGATCAGAGGCCAAAATGGCAGCTTCCTTAGCTGTAAAGGATAGAAGGGTTTAGTCATCTTTAAGTAGTGATCTCAGAAGACAGTTCAAAAACAATTGAAGTATGTATGCACTGATACTATGTCATTTTTCTGAGGATCCCTGAAAATGTAATAAATGCAGTGAAAAAACAACAAATGTTGGATCAAATAATGCTGTATATAGCTGAATGTCCTCTGTATGATAATTAGTGATATTACTTATATTCATATTGGTATTGTCTTCAGATACTGTACATTGAGAGTGGTTGTGTATAGTTCATATTTGTGGATAAAACAGAGCACCAGTTTGAACATAAATATATATATCATCGCTCAGCTGCATATTTGTAAGATCTCACCCAGTGTAAGACATTGAATCCATGGTTGCTGGAAGCTGCATTGTTGTGTCCATAAATAAGGGCCCTGGTTAGACATCCCCCAAGCATTTCATCCACGCATGTGGTTTTTCTAAAGGGTGGATGTTGTATAATTTTAAAAGGCCTAAATGTATGTCTGGCAAAAGAACTAACTGTCAAATCAACTTTCTTGGAGACTATATACTGGGGTGAAGACTGCAGGCAGTTCTCTTGTGAAAATGTTTGCAAGAAATTTTCTTTGAAATGATTAATTACTTTTAAAAAAAATTGATTTTATATGGAAAGGTGAACCTCATGAGCTGTTTTTTTTTTTTTTATCAAACAAGATATTTTATCATAAATAATCAATAAAAATTCAGCGCTTGATATTGCAAATAAAAATGACATACTGTAGATGAAAGGATGAGTAAAAGTCTTAAAGAGTGCAACGTGGCAATCATGGTTCCTTAGATGGCTGTTAAATTATCATGACTTCCGTGGTTCGTGAGAAGTGAGTATACAATGTACTAACCAGATAGCACATGGTTATGTGCGTTGGAGTAAATAAGACCTACTCCAATGGTACTCTGGGAACCGGAACTCTGCAAACAGGTGAAGTCGTCAGGTGGGGTTGAGTCACCAGATGTCATCAGACCAGCGCAGATTTCCTCATTCCAGTATAATGTGTGATCATCACATTGGATACATCATGCAGTATGGATTTCAGCCACCGGGGGGATCATGTACTTTAGTGTAAGTCTCCTACCATGGAGCACCTTAAGGGAGGGGGGCTCACGATTTTCAAAAAATGAGCCCAGAGAGAAAGAAAACTCCAATAGTGTAGTATTTATTATAACAGAAGGAGTTACAATTGTAAGCAGGAAAAAAATGGAAAAAAGAACTGGCACTTACATCCAGAGGTAATGAGGTAGCATATAGGTCAATAATCCTTGTACAGGGGGGGGTCTCCCCTGTACAAGGATTATTGACCTATATGCTACCTCATTACCTCTGGATGTAAGTGCCAGTTCTTTTTTCCATTTTTTACCTGTTTACAGTTGTAACTCCTTCTGTTATAATAAATACTACACTATTGGAGTTTTCTTTCTCTCTGGGCTCATTTTTTGAAAATCGTGAGCCCCCCTCCCTTAAGGTGCTCCATGGTAGGAGACTTACACTAAAGTACATGATCCCCCCGGTGGCTGAAATCCATACTGCATGATGTATCCAATGTGATGATCACACATTATACTGGAATGAGGAAATCTGCGCTGGTCTGATGACATCTGGTGACTCAACCCCACCTGACGACTTCACCTGTTTGCAGAGTTCCGGTTCCCAGAGTACCATTGGAGTAGGTCTTATTTACTCCAACGCACATAACCATGTGCTATCTGGTTAGTACATTGTATACTCACTTCTCACGAACCACGGAAGTCACGATAATTTAACAGCCATCTAACGAACCACGATTGAACTCTTTAAGACTTTTACTCATCCTTTCATCTATGTCATTTTTATTTGCAATATCAAGCGCTGCATTTTTATTGATTATTGTACATTCCATTAGAGGAATCAGGTATTTCCTTCTTTTCTGCTGGCAGCTGATTTTATATATTTACTCTATGTTACCCAGCGCTCGTATATCCATTGTTTCTATTCCAAGATATTTTATCAATTAAAAGAGAAATATAAGAAAAATACAGCCTTTTCAAATGTATGTTGTCTTGGTCAAAAAGGGAAGTGCCAAAGTGGATATTTACTATTTCATCCTATTTTTTATTATGGCAATGTCTGGCTACATCTGAACACTTTTGGGTACTTCCAGCAGTGCAACAGCTGAAAGGGCCTGCTCAGAGAAACCTCAAACTTCTTCAGGGCATAATCAACATGAAGCCATCTTATTTTTATCTGAATAAACTTGATTAGTGGGCTGCAAAGTCCAGAGCTCTGTATGAATATAGAAGTGACTGAGGTGGTAGGAACTGCCCGCCGCCATCATCCCTTGAATTATTGTATATGGAAAAGTATTCTCCCCTAGAGATGGGACTTTAGACGGCAGCACTAGTCAAGAGCCAAATATTAAGAATGAATGCATTGTCTAAAAAGCACAATAGTTTGTTGATACAAAGGGATAAAATGAATAATGATGTTTAATAAATGTGATTACAAGAAATTGCATGTATAAATACTGTATGTGAGTCATTAGTAGTCATCAGGGGCAGACTGACAACTTATGGGGCCCCCGGGCAATAGGGGATCATGGCGCCCCTGTGGCCTTGCCCAAACTCAAAAAAGCCTATGAAAAAGGTACCAGGGGCATCTCATGGGGCCCCCTACTGACTCTGGGCCCTCGGGCAGTGCCCAAGTTTCCAAATGGTCAGTCCGCCCCTGGTAGTCATACACTCAACAAGTTTCAAGATTACAGCTTCTCTTCTTCAGGGATGTAATATATGACTATAATTATATTCCATAATTGCAAACTTGTTGGATATAACCACGTAAGTATTTTAAGCAGTAAAGAAAGTACTGAGATGCCAAAACAAATATTGTCTGAGTACATTTATTGCCAATGCTACTGGGGTCACCATACAAGGCCAGAAATGAAAAAACCTTCCATGGTTCAAAAAACAGTAGTGTATTGAAGGACTTATATATATCAGTGTCAAGGTATATGCAAGACCCATAGGAACATTCAGAAAAGGAAAATTGTGTTGTGGAATGACTGTGATGATCCCAGATGGAGAGGCCCAATATATATGTGTTGGCAACAGAGAGTGGTTATGATGTTACTTATCAATAAGGGCTGAATGATCTTAGGACAGAAAGATGGTGTGACCGCGTGCAGCATTCTGGGCCCCGTATGGTGACCCCAGTGGCGTTGGCGATAAATGGTGTACCCATACAATATTTGTTTCAACATATCAGTACTTTCTTTGCTGCTTAAAATAGTTATGTAGTTATATCCAACAAGTTTGCAATTATGGAATACAATTATAGTCATACATTACATCCCTGAAGAAGAGAAGCTGTAATCTCGAAACGTGCTGAATGTATGACTACTAATAACCCACATACAGTATTTGTACATGCAATTTCTTGTAATCACATTTATTAAACATCATTATTCATTTTATCCCTTTGTATCAATAAACTATTGTGCTTTTTAGACAATGTTTTCATTCTTAATATTTGGCTCATTGGCTAGTGCTACCCTTTAAAGTCCAATCTCTAGGGGAGAATACTTTTCCATATACAATAATTCAAGGGATGATGGCGGTAGGTAGTTCCTACCACCTTGATCATTTCTATATTTAATAAACTCTAATGCTTTTGTTCTTGATATTTGGCTCATTGGCTAGTGCTGCCCTATAAAGTCCCATCTCCAGGGGAGAATAATTTTCCATATGCAAGAGCTCTGTATAAAAGACAGTCTAGCTAGTAATGGAACATTCTGATTTTAATTTACTCTTCAATAAATGTTTTATATTTGGGAGCAAGAAAGAAAGATTATAATTCATGTTGCCAGTACTACAAGAACTGTAAGTAAGAATGTGTATGGATGAATTGTAAATATTTTTTTCAAAACTACTGAAACATTTCCACAACATACAGTATGTATTCCTATGATATTGTGTCTTATATAATTTTTTCCTAATAGGAAATACACTTGTAATTTGAGAAATAGACATAGTCCAGTCCCATGTTTTATTGTTTATATGTTTTTCTCTAAAAATTGTCATACCCCTGCTTGAGGAAATATGGAAATGGTATAACTCCCATGCTGTCCATTTCACATAACCTTTAAAGTTAAAATGGGTGCAGTATGAAAACTGTATAATGGCCTCGACTGTTTATATGTGCTTATGGAGCAAGTATTAGACTGCACTTGAAAGTTATCACAAACTCTATGCAGAAAATCCCCAATCAAACAACTCCCAGGATGTCCTCTAACCTAAAAGGTCCAATCAATATGTCATTTTCTCATGACACCAAACCTTTTATTTGATTTATCCTTTTCTCTACTGATCTGTATACTGAAAAGGAGGCATCTAACATTCTAGAGAACAACAGCTCTTTTCTATCCACATTATCTGATTAAATGAAAAAAAAATGTAGTAAAGAGAATAATATCTGTTTACAACATAAAATCACTGACTTAATTTACATTAATGCTGAAGAATGAATTATGCACCATATTGATGCTGTCAAGTTAAACTACCCCTAAGCATCAGGATTAATAGACTTTTGTTTTTACCTTAAAGCTAGTTGTTATTGATGCAAATTTATTATCTGCTGTCTCTGGGTTTCCAATCAAATAATCCCAGCTAGTAAACATTTTAAAGCTGAAATTGAAATTCCCATCATCTCCATCAGCAGTGTTTTCATTGGCATTACTTGCCATTCTGGAACACAGAATTGTTTATATTTATTATGAAGCATATCCATTTATTACAAATCACAGAAAACATTTGCTTTGCATTTTTAATTACGGAGGAAAAATAAATGCAAGGCACATAAAAGTAATTGGGGTCAATTTTCAATATGATCATCACACAGGTTATGCCTATAATACTAGCTTCTGCCTGGAGATACTTTTGAGGCTAAATGACATGTCTGTTGATGAGAAGGGGAAAAAAGCAACCATTTCAGTTTTTGGTAAAATAAAAATTCAAAATCAAAATCCTGAATTTTGAGAATATGAAGTTTTCAGCAGTTAAAAATCAGTTTCACCAACACTAGTGGCACAACCTACCATAACTTATCATTGAGAATTTACTCTAGTGTTCCATATCTCATACTGATTCCAGCTAATAACCATGGAATAGTTGTACAGATATTATATTGATAGTCATATATCAGACTCAAAGGTAATCAATTATACTGAACTTATAATTGTGAAGTTCCCATACTGCTTGAATGGCAACATTTAAAAGACATGATATGTGAAGATGAGCAAGACAGGGGTTACATTAAAGCAGAACTCTAGGAAAAAATGTTTTTCTGAGCCCATAAAGTGGGGCTGTGCTACACTGCTCAGGTCAAATGATCATTTTGTTCTAGGGGAGAGGATACTGAATATTTACTTGACTGACCCTCCAATCCTCCCCGTGCAAGACTGGCCTTTTGGATCCTGCACGCCTCCGTGGTCCAGCGGTCTTGTAAGTGAGCTGTTCCTGATGTCAGTATGCTCAATGCATGCTCCAGAGACAGGAACAGTCCACCGCTGGACCATGGGGAGCGCGGTTTTCCATGGGATCGGTGAGTCAGGTAAGTATACAGTAAGCTTTGTCCTCACTTCTAAAAAAAAACGAGCAGCCAATCCATGCAGTGGGGGCACAGTCCCACTGCATGGTAAGAAAAAAATTCTAACTTGAGTTGTGCTTTAAGTGGGTATTGCATTTCCCTATCTGACACAGAAGAGGGATTCATTTGAGGAGTCAATTTACAATATAGAGTATGCCAAAAGATTTTGGACATCTGACCACCACAAGTATATATACTGTTGAACATATTATTTCAAACCCCACCTTGTGATTATAACATGCCTCCACACAGGCTTTCCACAAGATGATAGAGTGTGTCTGTGGGAATCTGTACCAAATTTTCCATAGGATCGGTGAGTCAGGTGAGTATAAACTTTGTCCTCACTTCTAGAAAAAACGAGCAGCCAATCCATGCAGTGGGGGCACAGTCCCACTGCATGGTAAAAAAAAAATTCTAACTTGAGTTGTGCTTTAAGTGGGTACTGAATTTCCCTGTCTGACACAGGAGAAGAATTAATTTGAGGGGTCAATATACAATATAGAGTATGCCAAAAGATTTTGGACATCTGACCACCACAAGTATATATACTGTTGAATATACTATTTCAAACCCCACCTTGTGATTATAACATGCCTCCACACAGGCTGTCCACAAGATGATAGAGTGTGTCTGTGGGAATCTGTACCAAATTATCTAAAAGGTCATGTGTGATCTGATGTTAGACGTAAAACCTTGGCTTGTATTGAGCATTTAAAATAATTTGAAAGGTATTCAATAGGGTTGAATGTCAGGGCTATGTCCAGGCCACTCTAGAAAAAAGTGAACTTTAATTTGTGATGTTTTTAACCTATTTGGTTTTCAGAATGGGTTGCACAATTCCAAAACAAATATTTTTGTAAAGGCTTATTTTGTATAGGGAAACTCTGATGTGTTTTTTATTGAATACACATGTTGAGTTAGGTTTTTAATTTTTGCCCTAATGATAACCAGTAAATCTAGCAACATGGAAGCTGCCACTGCTGAACTGTTTTTGAGAACTCAATATCAGAATTTCATTCTTTTATGTCCCTGTCCCAACACCTCATATGCACATGCTTGCTTCAGCTTAGTGACTCACCAAGTAGTAAAGAAGGATAGAGATGCCCCAGTGGCAACACCTTAAAAAATACAAATCAATAGTTGCAGCTCCCATATTTCTATTTAAAATAATCCTTGCTTCTGCATATTTACGTATTGTATTTATTACTCCACCATAATTTATGATGTTTAATGGCTTTCCACAAAATGACCAACGTGTTCAGCATTCCTGTAGAGCAACTTCTGAGATTACAGGATAAGCCACACAAAAGTCTATCATTTTCTACCAGCTTTAGCAGACAAGTATTAATTGAAGCAGATTGTGTTCATTTTGCGCAGTAAATATTTTCATAGTTTAGTAAAAAACAAAAAAGTTATGCTGTTTTCTTCAATCATCCAATCATCCAACCACGTGCAAGCAAGAATCCTGTTTTCTTCTTTGCAAATCTAATTGTTATTATAACAAGGCAGTATCCATAATAGACAATGTTTACGGTTACAGGTAAAAATGCAGATTTCAGTCCATTGACTGGATACAAGTAATATCCAACAATAACAATCATGTCAAATGTCTATATCAAGAAGGTGGTACTAGATAGCAAAATCCAATTACTGGAAAAAAAAACAATAAAGTGCAATAATCAAAGGCATCACCAAGTAGGTTCGTTACTTACGCCCAGGGATAGTGTAGCCCTGCATCAATAAAATACTCCACAGTAGCTCCCTTGTAGAGAGAAAGGGTACCGCCCTAATCATTTTTACTATTTAAAACCAAGCGACAAGAGATATTAGGAGAAATAATCCTGTTCTCTTCTTAAATTTACAAACAAATGGCAACTGCTCCATTCTATAAATGGCAGCAAGGAGCAACTGGAAGGGCGACACATGTCAACAACAACAAAGAAAAATTCCCAGCTCAACTTACCAACCAGACTGCAACCAACTAAATTGTCCTGTCAGTTCACATTAAAAACAGGGGTTTAGATTGCGCACAAATTGCAAATACATGCGTAAGCTGCAGAGCCTCTACACAGCACCCCAGTATTATCTGCAGTCCTAACTATATACATTTTGAGAGCCTAAATAGTAGAAGCACATGCATAATAATGGATAGACTGAGGGCAGGTAAGCCTGGAGGGAGCCCAACCCTCCTTAAAGATACAAAGGCTCAGAGGCACACTGGACACCCAGCATATATTATGATGGCAGCTAAGGTGTCCAATGAATCCCTCACCAATATACAAACAGTGCAAAACAGATGACAACTGTCCCCCAACTGGTTGCAGGCTGGTTGGTAAATTGAGCTGGGAATTTTTCTTTGTTGTTGTTTTGACGTGTCGCCCTTCCATGTGCTCCTTGCTGCAAAGGCCAATTATAGGTTAGGGCAGTTGCTGTTTGTTTGTACTGTTGGTTTATTGGCAAGGGGCGCACTGGACAATTCGGTTGGTTGCAGGCTGATTAGTAAGCTGAGTTGGGAATTTTTCTTTGTTGTTTCTTCTTAAATTTCCTTTGTATGGGTATTCAGGGTGAACATAGAGCAACCCTTGCAAAGCTAAGTGAACATTTACTTTGCTAAGTGAACAATCTCTACTCATTTAGTAAATCAAAACCATAAACCTTTACTCAGGGAGAGAAGGACAATAATGTATAATTACTCTGCAGCAATACTCCGTAGGAAGTATATCTTGCATTTATAATAAGCCTCCATAAACATTTATATGTTTACAAATCAGCTATAGGAACACATTTTTAAAAACATTAACACATTGATGGGTTTATTTTCATTGTTTATTACATTCACATATGTAGCTAATAAGAATTCAAGAGACTGTACATTGCAAAAAAGGTTCTTTGGGAACCAGACAGCAACAGTTTCCAATTATGTATTCAGCGCTACAAATAATATGGTAAAGTTTTAATGTTTGGAGAAAAAAAAAAATCCCTGGTTGTAAAATAAAAAAAGCTTTCATACTAGCCTATAATATAAAAATTACCAAAGACAAATGCTATATACTAGAATAACAGCCAGAGTTCTACATGCCTACTGTCATGTACAATTGCTGCAATCAGAAAAAGAATTATTAAACTCATGGAGTTTGACTAAACCCTTCCTTGTAAACATGTTTCCCATACTCTAAGAGAATGTTTTCTTTAATTTTGGATAATATAATTCTAAAAGGGTATCGCATAGAACTGCAATACATAGCATATACAATGGAAATCTAAAGGTACATCTAAGATGCAGATAAAATGTATTGCATTACGTTATTGGTTATATTTTTTTTGTCTTCTGAGTTTTCATGCACACTTGACGTTTTTACAGCTGCTGCCTTTGGCATTTGACGTTTTTTTCTACAGCCAGTAAACTCCCCCCAGCATGTTATCCTATGTGTCCATGCACACATAGACAGTAATCAATGTTTTTTGGCTGGGTTGTTTTTTGGCTGGCAAAAAAACCCAGGACTAGTGGGTTTCTAGAGGAGTTTTTTAGCTGTAAAAACGCTCTTACGCTGAAAAACACAAATGCGGAAAAAACGCAGGAAAGTGCCACTAAATGCGGCAAAACGCTACTAAACGCTAATGCAAGAATGCTAAAAAAAGCTGAAAAACTCACGTTTTTAACTGTGACTTTACACAGCTAATGTTACCAGCGTTATCAAACCGTCCAGTGTGCAAGGGGACTTAAACAGGTAAAGCAGTATACCAGGCACTCTTGCTTTTTGTCCTTATACAAAGAGTGCTGCATATACAGTATGTAATAAGAAATTATTCTACCTTGCAATATACACCTACAGTATATACAATTAAAAATGTTTGTTTTTTAAAAATAGGAATTGGTACTAGTGATGAGCAAATGTTTTTGGCTTCTCCAGACTCATCATATATTCCTGAAATTGCAAACTTTATTCTGACCCAATTGAAGGCCATAGGAACTTTGAAAATCAATTCAAGGTATTAGGCAAGGGGTTGTCAAACAGGGCACAAGGAGCTGGGCAGTACCATAGGAAACCAATGAAAAAAACAGAAATAACGTTTAGCAGAAAGAGGGCCCTCCACTTAT